CATCGGTGTGGTGCTCGCAGCGTGGCGCAGCCTGTGCGCTGCAAGCTGCGTGGTGCCACCTCTGTGGTGCAGGCTCGGTGGCACAGCCGCCGTGGCGCAGGCTGCACACTGCAAACGTCACGCTCTGCCCGCTGCGTGGTGCCCGGCTGCACGGGCGGCGACCGGGAGCGACACCCCGGGCAGAGACCCCGCAAGAGCACCTTGCGGGCGCCCGCGGGCGGCGGCCCAGCGACGCCTCGGCGGGCGCAGCCCGCGCACGCTGCGCCTGCGAGGCGTCCGCGGGCGGCGGCCGGGCGAACCCTCTAGGGGGCCACGTGCGAACCCTGCCCCTCCCCCCCACGATTTCTGAGGGGGAGGGTGGGCTTCGCTTCGCTCGGGAGCTCCGGAGCGGAGTGAACCCCACCTTCCCCCTTAGAAATCGTGGGGGGCAGGGGCAGGGTTCGCACGTCTCCCCCCTACCCTCGGCGCACCTTCCCAAGCCTTAGCTGCTCTGTACGCACGTTTTGAAACCTAACACGTGCCGTGTTCAAAGCGTCCATGTTCAAAACGTACGTGTTCAGTCTACGTGTTGAGCTCCGTGTCAATACGCTGCGTGCTGCGTGGTGCGTATCGGGGCGGCTAAGTCCCAAGTGCGTGAGAAGCAACGTAGTAACCCCCTGGAGCAAGCACTGTTTGGGGGATCGGCGTAGATCGGTGGATGCCCCTGAGGCGATAACCTGTCAAAGTGGCTTGTGACACTGCGAGATCTCAACTCGGACGGCAGCCTGGCCAAGGAGCTGGCGAAGAGGAAGCTGGAGGTCAGCGCCGACCCGTTCCTTCGGCATGCACTCGGCTTCCCCTGTATCGACTGACCTTTTCCTCCTCTCTCTACCTCCTGGTCCCCCCTCCGCCTTGTCCTTCTTCTTTTCTGTATAACTTATCCCTGTCGCGCCACTGGGTCGAATGCGAGGCGGGCCGAGTGTCTCGCATGAGACTTCTTCAGCACTTGTGATCCTGAAACTTGAAATTTCAACAGACGTAATGATATACGTTTTCAAAATGGGGCTCTCGCCTCAGCGCCGCACAGCCGATCTAAACAATACAGCAGTTACAGGGATGGAGGGAGGTTGTTGTTAGACTGGGGCTCTCGCCCAGCGCCTCGCACATTTGTTATGCACATTGGTAGCAGTCACGTGGATGGGGGGGGGTCATTTGAGGCCTTCGCCTGAGCTCCACGCACACTCGTCTTACACTCCTGCAGCCGGTGTATGAACGGAGGGTGGTTCCTCTGCAAAATGAGGCTCTCGCCTCGGCGCCGCACACATTCGTCTCCACAGTTCGCAGCAGTATCGATGCCGATTTTTTTATTCAAACAGTGGCTCTTGCTGTCGAATTCCTGGAACAGCCGAAGCCAGACACCGGAACACTGATAGCAGCTGTGCGGGTGGAGGGCGCTTCCTTTTCAAACTGGGGATTTCGCTTTAGACTGACTCAAATTTAATGGAGGGCGCTTCCTTTTCAAACTGGGGATTTCGCTCTAGACTTACTCAGATTTAGTGGCCGCGTGTGTGTACTGTAGTTTTGTGCAGCATCTGCACGGACGGGGCGGCGTTTCTTCTTGCAAAGTGGGGCCCTCGCTGGACACGTCCCCGAGCTTTCTGATGCTGCTCGGCCGCAGCTCTTCGCTTGTGCGCTTGCAGGATGGAAGGCCTTTTTGCTCTTCAGAGCGGGGCTGCCCTCTGGACGTGGCCAGGCCCGCCGGGTGCTCGTCTTGCGAGGGGTACTACTCGGTCGCAGTTCTTCACCTGTGCGCTCGAAGGCTGGAAGGCCTCTGCTCCTCAGAGCGGGGCTGTCCTCTGGACGTGGCCAGGCCCACTGGGTGTTCGTCTTGCGAGGGGGCACCTGCTGCTTGCAGCGAAGGGGAAGGGCCAGCAGGGACGGGACTTGGGGCCGGAGGGTGCGCTGCAGCATCGATGATTCATACAGGGCTTATTCTGGCCCGTCTCCTCCTCCTCCTCCTCCTCCTCCTCCGCCCTCTCTCCCTCCTCCATCCTTTTCCTCCTTCTCTTCCCCTCCTCCTCCTCCTCCTCCTCCTCCTCCTCCTCCTCCTCCTCCTCCTCCTCCATTCCTTATCCTTACGAATAATTTCTCCCTGTCGCACCCCGCGGCCAGTTCTTCGGGCGGGCCGGGCGTTTCGCCGGAGACTTCTTCACCATTTATGACCCTGAAGTTTTAAAACCGGCAACAGTTTTACAGATGGAGGGCGGGTCGTTTTCAACATGTGGCTCTCTCCTTAGCGCGGCACGTATTCGTTTTAAACATTCGCCAGAGTTTCGAGGATTGAGGGCGGGTGGATTTCAAAACGTGGCTCTCGCTCAGGAACCGCGCACATTCGTTGTACCATTTGCAAGTGTTTCACGGATTGAGGGCGGTTCCTTTTCAAAATGTGGCTCTCGCCTTAGCGCTGCGTGCATTCGCTGTAAACAAATGCAGGAGTTTCACGGATTAAGGGTGGTTCTTTTTTTAAATATGTTTGTCGCCTTAGCTCCGCGCGCATTCGTTTTTCTAAAATTGGCAAGAGTTTCATGGTTCCCATGGTCAACGTACCAGACATGGTGTTTTGGAAGGATTCAGGGTTTTGAGGGTGCAACATTGATGTTGCTTCGCGTTGTTGAAGTGCCAGGAATGGCAATATCGTCAAGACACAACAGTCGGGTTGATCCGTGGCGTTGGAATTCCGAGAACAATGTTTTGGCATGCTTTAGGGTCTTCAAACGGTTGTCTTCCAACGAGGCAGTTCCCTCAGTGGAAATGAACCGTTATAGGGGCCTGTGAGGAGGGAGCTTGGAGGGAGGCTTTATTCCAACATCGTTGATGACTCTTGGGTTTGCACTGGTCCTCCTCCTCCTCGTCCTCCTCCTCGTCCTCCTCCTTTTCCCTTTCTCCTCTTTCTCCTCTTCCTCCTCCTCCTCCTCCTGGGCGTTGGGCGCTGCTGGCTCTGGGATCTTTTACGGATGTTCCCCCCCGTCCTCCCCCAGGGGCGGTCGTTCCTGGGGTGGTTGATCAAAGAGAGCCTGTATAAAGAAGAGAAACGAGCGCGGCATAAGCAGGACCCCCCGGGGGCGAGGTAACTATGTCCCCCAGCGACCTCTGGGGGTGAGAGAGAAGACGCATCCCGTCCACGGTAGGCGCGGGTGGCGTCAGGAGAGGGCGCATGCGCAGCTGTGCAGATACGGTGAGGTGGCTCCTCAAATGTAGGAGCAAGTGAGGCGATGCAGGACAGGGTTGGGGCTGAGGGCATGGCAAGAACTGTGGCTGTGAGATATGGCTTGGCTGTGAACTGCGGCTGCCCTGGCCCTAGCCAGGGCGGCCGGCAGCTTGCGTCTGGTCCCTCCCCGAAAGACCCACCCGATAATGACCCGACCCCCCGCTGGTAGCAGTCACACCGTGACGTGGCGGACAGCGTAAACGAGAGCTGGTTGCAAGACGTAGCGAGCGAGAATGTGGTGGCGAGCAGCGGCTTGGTGGGATCCGCCATCCTGGCCAAAATCAACGGCGATCCTCGCGGTGGAAAAGTGGGCAAGCTGGAAAAGTGGGCAAGCTGGCTGGCTGCGGAGGCGGCCAGCAGAGGTGAGCCAAAGAGGTGGGTAGGTTGCACGGGTCCTCCTGACGACCACGGCCGCCCCGGCCAACGCCAGGGCGGCCGGCGGCTGAGTGGCCTGGTCAGCTGGGTTGCTCGGCGGCGCTGCTGGACGCGGCCGCCCTGGCCAGCGCCAGGGCGGCTGACGGCGGTCTCGTCACTCCGATCTCCTGGTTCTAACACCACCCATCCCGCCCCACAACAGCGGTGGGGGTGAAGGCTAGTTGGGTGGGGAGTGGGCGAACACGTTCCAGGAGTGGACGGCCAGAAGGGAGTGGGAGTTGGGGTGAGAGCTCTCAGTGGCCAGACTGATGGTTGGTCCTTTGTGTCGCAGGCCTCCTCCTCCTCCTCCTCCTCCTCCTCCTCTCCTCCTCCTCCTCCTCCTCCTCCTCCTCCTCCTCTTCCTCCTCATCTACCTCCTCTACTGCCTCCTCTACCTCCTCCTCTTCCTCCTCTTCCTCCTTCTCCTTCTCCTGCTGCTGCTGCTTCTCCCCCTCCCCTCCCCCCTCCCCCCTCCCCCTCCTCCTCCTCCCCTCCTCCTCCTCCTCCTCCTCCTCCTCCTCCTCCTCCTCACTCCCCTCCCCCTCCCCCTCCCCTCCTCCCCCTCCTCCTCCTCCTCCTCCTCCTCCTCCCCTCCTCCTCCTGCTTCGCTCCTCCTCCTCCTCCTCCTCCTCCTCCTCCTCCTCCTCCTGCTTCTCCTCCTCCTCCTCCCCTCCTCCTCCTCCTCCTCCTCCTCCTCCTCCTCCTCCTCCTCCCCCTCGTGCTGCTGCTGGCGGCAGATCCACCCGATCGGCACGCGCCTGCACCGCCCCGGCCCTGAAGCGTCGGCCACGCGCAGGATGCTTCTCACCTCCCCTCCAACGCACTCATGGCGTGCGGGTTCTCGACCCTGCTGCTGCTGCACATCTTGGCGAGCGCGAGGAGCGATCCTTCGCTTCTCCGCACAGCCCAGCGAGCCGCTCTCGCCTTCCACAATTGTATTCACATGAAGCAAGCTGTCACCCCCGATGCCTGACGCGAGAGCGTCCGCTCTCGGTGCGGCCATTGCGTTCATCTGGCGCTAATCATCTCCTGTGCTGCCCGAAGAGGGTCGGAAGAGGAGAAGGTACCCATGCCGCTACCCTTCCCTCGGTGTCCCCTGTTTGGGCCTCCGGGGAGGCCCTCGTCGCCACCGCTGGCTTCGCTCCCAAGTCCTGGTCGGAGCGCACCCCAGGAGAGGTCCAGGGAGTAGCGGTATCGGTACCCTTTGATTTCCCCGTGCGGAGGGAGTGCGAGGGGGAAGGCTTCTTTGAAGCACCCTGCTTCTTAGAAGATGCGGGCCTTGTCTGTAGATGTAGGGCCAGTGCCTTCTAAGAAGCAGCCTCCTTCTAAGAAGCCTTCCCCCCCTCCCCCTACCCCCTGTGTGCGCGCCGCCAACTGACGCCAGCGTGCAGGCGACGGGCAGCTGCACGCGTGCGTCGGAGGCGACGATAGGGGCGATCTTCGCGCCGTCGGACCTTCAAAAGGATCCAGGGGCGCCGATGGTTTATGTCTTCGGCGAGGCTCCCGGAGGGATACGTGTAATGCCCGCCCCTGGGCTATTCGCCTCTGTCGTCGCCGCCGAGTGCATCTTCGAGTGTTGCTTCCGGTGCTTGAGGCCGCCGTGCATCTGAAGCTCGGACGCTTGCCCCGCTGCCCTTCTTGAGAATCTCCTGCGTGCAACGGAGGGCCCTTCGGGCGCAAGGCAATGGAAGGGCGGTGCACACGGTGGCTTGCTTCCCCCGCGCGCCCCCAGTCCTCGCGACCTCTGGCACGTCGGTCAGCGGGGCAAGCGCAGCCGCAATGGCCGACGGTTGAACACCGAAGCACGTCGGCATCCTGAGCCCAGCGCGGGCTGAGACCCCCCCCCTGCGCACTCCTCGTGGGGACGAATCCTTGCCTGAGGCCTCCCCCGCGCTCCTTTCCGCGCCCGCCTCCTCGGTTTCATGCCCCGGCCCGGCGCGGCCCGCCGGCTGGCCGGACGCGTTGGCGTGCGCGCGCCAACTGCCGCCCAAGAAGTTGTCGTGCCCTGTTTTCCGGCAGCTCTCCCAGGGCTTCGCCCTCTCTCGGCCTTGACGTGAGGCCCCGCCTTCTTTTGCCCTCCCTCCCTGATTTATGCTGTGCGCGGCCCGCTTAGCATCTGTCGGAAGAGGTTCGCTCTCGCCCCGCAGATCAAAAAAATATTTTCCGGCAGCTCCTCGAGACCCGGGGGCGGTTTCCATCAGCTACGCCTCGTCGAGAGCGCCCCGGGGGGGGGGCTGGGACCGCCGCGAGCAGCCGCCGGAGGCCGGAGCTGTGGCCCGAGGGCCAGGCCGGAGAAGGTCGGGGGGAAGGCCATTGGTGCCACGCTCAGGGGGGGGAGTGCGCCGCCCCCCACCGCCCGTGCCTCGCCGACGGAGGGCTGATGTGTTAAGGCCCAGTGAAGCGACCCCCCCCCCCCCTATAAGTTTCGTTCAGTGCGTCGCCCGAGCGTCGCCCGTGCGCCGGCCCTGGTTTGCGTCTCTGTCCCGAATCCCGGCCTCCCAGAGTGCGTGGGCGACATATGGCGCGACTTCGGAATTTCTCTGGCGATATATAGGTTTCCGACGCCGGTGCACCAGCAGCCATTTTGGCGGTCGCGGCGCTTTCCTAGCTCGACGGTCCACCAACGCGTTCTGTTCCCAATTCGGCGCAAGAGGATTTGCTGGTGCTCATTGTCGGGGGCGCCAACCGTTGCTGAGGACGAAGACGCCTCGCGTTGATTGGGGGCTGTGCGTGTCGCGCCACGGTGGGGGGTGACGTCGCATCCCGCGACGCGGCGCCACTTCGCCCCGTCGCATCGCGCCCCGCACCCCCATGTCGTTTCGCGCCAATCCTCCTGCCCCCCCCCTTCTTCCTTCCTCTTCCCTTCGTCCAACGCGCTGCGCGTTTTGTCCCGTTTGCGAAATTTGTATTCAGTTTTTTTGTGTCAGGCTGCCGTCCTGTCCGCCTCCCTACTCACCCCCCGTTGTCCTTTCACCCTCCTGGAACTTCTTCTCGCCCTCCTCGCTCCCGCCGCCCCCCTTCGATCGCCTTCCATCGCTCCCGCCGCCGCTGCGCCGCCCTCGCGCGCCCCCCCATCGCCCGTCCGTTCCCATTTCCGCCCGCCCTTCCCTCGCTTCACTTCCATCCTCTTTTTCCCCCCACTGCATCGGCGGGCGAGACGTCGCCAAATTGCTGCAGCGACGGACCGATGTTCAAAATCTGACGGGGCGTGCGCTTGACATGGATTAGTCCGTGCGCGCTGCATCTCCATGTCGTTTATTGGTCTCCTCGCGTTCGTAGTTATCACGTGCGTGTCTCGCTATTTCTACGATTGCCGCGCGCATCCCTCGATTGTTTCGCCAGCGGGCCGCGCAGTTCACATGCCGTCAGGAGTCCACGGCGCCCTTCGAGCGATTCGCGCGCGACCTGCGCGCGACGCGCGAACGACCCGAGCGACGCCCGCGCGACGCACGCGCAACGCGCGCGCGACGCGCGCGCGACGCACCCCGACCCGCGCGCGACGCACCCCTGCCAGCGCGCGACGCACGATCGACCCGCGCGACGCACGCGCGACGCACGCGCGACGCACGCACGCGCGACGCACGCGCGACGCACGCGCGACGCACGCGCGACGCACGCGCGACGCACGCGCGACGCACGCGCGACGCACGCGCGACTTTGCCCGCCCCTAGCATTTCTCCGAGCAGCAATGCGCAACGGCTGTCGGCCCGCCGTGCTTGCGCTGTTCACAAGTGTCGGCGGCTGCGTCCTCCATTGCGCCAGGAAGGGCGGTGCTTGCCGTTGTTATTTCCCTTTTCCTTCCTCGTCGTCCCTCCTCTTTTGTCATTCCTCCTCCTTCGTCCTCTCTCCTGCCTCGTCTCCCTCTCTCCTCCCCTTCTCCTCCTCCTTTCTACCGGCCTCCCTCAGTCTGTCCCCCCCCCCTCCTCTCTCGTCTTTTTTTTTTCCCTTGCCGCCCCGTGCCCCTCTTCATGTTCTTTTCTCCTTCGGCCCCCCTTTCCACGGCCGCGGCGGGTCGCCGCGAGCGGCGCCCCCGCCTTCCGCGAACGGCCCCGCCGCCGGCGGTGGAAGAGGAATATTACAGGGAGAGAAGGAGGGGGGAGGGGCAGGGGCGCGAGGCGGGCGCGGCGGCAAGGGCGGCCCGGCAGGGGAATGGGGTGGAGGGGGGGGAGGACGGAGTGGGCGGGTGCTTCTGTAATGGTCATGTTGGTGATCATGGTCGTGGTCGCGTTCGTCGCCTTGGTCGCGTTGGCGGCGGTCGCGCCGCTGGTGGTGGGCGGGCTGGTGGTGGTCACGTCGGTGATCGTGCTGGTGTCGGTCGTTGTTGTGGTCGCGAGAAGCGTGGTGGTCGTGGTGGTGGTGATGGCGGTACTTGGTGTTAGTCGTAATCGTCGCGGTGGATGTGGTTGCGGTCGCGTCCGTTTGTGGTGATCGTGGCGGCGGTAGTTTTGACGCTGGCGGCGGTTGCGGCGGCTGTGGCGGCGGCTGCGGGGACCTGCTGGCCTATCGGCGGGCTGCGTTCAGCAACGTCGCTGCGTTTACAATGTTAGGGGGATTGCTGATCCGCCGAGGTGGCCCAGCGGCCGCCTTCTTCTCGCCAAGAGGGCCGCGGCGTGGGCGACTTTCTTTTTCCCGAAGGCGACCAGCCTTTTCAGCGGCCGTGGAGAGGGCGACGCGCGTGCGATCCGCCCCGTGGGTGTCCGCCGCGCTGGCGACGCACTCACCAACGTGCCCCCTTGCCAGGGCGACGTGCACGTTCGAGAGGACGGCTGGCCTTTTCGGCGGCCGACGCACGGGCGGCGCACGGGCGACGAATGCGCGACGCACTTCCTGTCGCGAAGGGGGGGGGGTCAGCACGCCGGTCGCTTTACTGGGCCTTAACAGGCTGATAGGTCAGCCCGCCCAGGCACGTGCGGTTTCGCTGTCGGCGCCCTATCGCCGATCTATCGGCGATGCATCGCCGACTGCAGGTCGACGCCCCCCCCCCTGAGGCAGGCCCCCCCATCGCCCCCCCCTCGGTGCAGGGGGATCCTTGTCCTCTCGTGTGACCCTGTGGCTATGAGGGGGACGGTCGTGCAAGCACGGCAAACGCCCACGATCAGCGCATCGGCCGGTGGTCCTAGGAGGCGCGGACACGCAATGTTTTTTTGAGCTCCGCGCGGAGCTCCGAAAGTTTATGTTTAATGCAGTTTTATCCTGTCCGCAAGGAGGTACGGACGATAAAGCTCGTCTGGAAGTACAGCATCTCCCTTCTCACGGCCTCCCTTTTGGGCGTCCCCGTTCCTCACAGGCTCTGCTCCTCTGACTCTGCCTCATCGTTTCATAGGCAAGTTGGGAGGCGCGCGAACCTGGAGCGTAAGCTGCCTTATCCTCTCCTTCGTCCCCCTCGTTTTCCTTCCTTTCCACCTTTTCCTCCTCCTCCTCCTCCCTCGCATCGCCTCCTCCTCCTCCTCCTCCTCCTCCTCTTCCTCCTCCTCCTCCTCCTCGCATCTTCTCCTCCTCCCTCGCATCTCCTCCTCCTCCTCCTCCTCCTCCTCCTCCTCCTCCTCCTCCTCCTCTTCCTGCTCCTCCTCTCTCTCCTACTACTACTCCTCCCGATTCCGGACTCCTCACGGCTGGAAGACTCTCCGGAGGTAGCCACCCCCCAGGGCCGGTCGGCCCTGGGGGGGATTGATCCAACTGGGGTTAAGTCGGGCCTGTCCCCCTACAGGGGGGCTTTCGACGAAAAATAAAAAATACATTTCAAAAATAGTAAAAAAATAGTCCAAACATAGTCGGGGGACTTGGGACATTTTTGGAGTATTTTTTGCCTTTTTGGGGTATTTTGGGGACATTTTTAATTTTTCGTCGAAAATCCCCTTGTAGGGGGACAGGCTCGACTTAAAACTAGGGCCAGGTGACCCCTGGAGCACAACTCCAGGCGTCACCTGCGGCATCGGTAAGGATTAACATGGGAATGCTGACAGACAGATGCCGAGAGGAGGAGGGGAGGAGGGGGGAGGGACACCTTTCCTTTCTACCCCTTGGAAAAAATAGTCCCCCAATCTCTCCAGGGGCGCCTTCTGGCCAGAATTTTGCGGGGACGTCCAGCTGTGCTTCTGCAGGCGCCCCCGGAGGCCCCATGCGGTGCCCCAGACTGTCCGAAAGCCTCGCCCTCTCGACCCTCGAGACCGGATCCGCGGACCCCGAGCCTCTCCACTTCGACCAGGCGGTCAGCGTCGACCGCTTCTGCTCCCTGCTGCTGCTCCTCCGCACTTTCCTCTCCTTCCTCCTCCCTCTCCTCCTCCTCCTCCTCCTCCTCCTCCTCCTCTTCTTTCTCCTCCTCCTCCTCCTCCTCCTCCT